GAGAGGGAGGGAGAGAGAGCCTGGTGAGGTGGGGATGTTGACTAGATTGGATAACACCCACTGTCCATGATTCTGAAAGCCAACCCTACAAGATCCCACTACAAACTCTGGCGCCTCAACTGACATCAGCACACAACAGGGCTGAGGATGTAGCTCGGCCGACAGAGTGCTTGCTGAGTTCAATCCCTAACACCTTGTCAACTGGATATGGTGATACACATCTATAATTCCATCTCTCTGGAGGTAGAAACAGGAGGATCAGAAGTTCTAAGTCATTCTTGACTGTCCAGAGAGTTTGAGGCTGTCCTGACTGGGTTACATGAGACCCCTTGTAAAGGAAAGACAAAGAAGGAAAGATAGAGAAAAAGACAGACAGACACAGAATATGTGGAGAAAGGAATTAAGGCTAGTGTTGAGACACCTAGCTTTGGAGACCCAGTAGCTAGAGACACTATGATGCCCCAGATGGCCCAACATCAGTGTGGCCCCTAATTCTCCATATACTTCTATGTAGCATGAGGGGCTTTAGATGGACCATGGCAATGGCAGTATCAGTGCCCTCCTTGCCTCTCCTTTTAGGCTGCATGTCATAGGAGGATAGAGGTCAGCTCCGCTGGGATCACAGCAGACTCCCAGCCACTGCCCCCATGCTGATGGTATATGTCTGTCAAGTGAATACATGATATAGGTTCAAGACAAGGACTAGGCTTAAGTGGACCCACCTGAGAAGGAGAGGATGTGGTCTGAGGAGGGGGGGTTTGTCTGGCTGCCTGGGACCCTGGACCTCTGAACCTTCACTGACCCTGGTATCTTCCTCATACTCGAGTCTACCTGATGCATCTTCCCCAGAACCACCAAGTCCTTGGATCGTTTATTAAGCATGTCCCCAGTCATAATGACTGCTGGATTACACATGTGAAAATCACTACCTGCCTTCTAGATGATTCTAGGGAGGGGATAGAGACAGGCATGGCTGTGAGCGATGATAGCAATGCTACTACAGCTGTCCCAGTCACCTGGAACCAACTCTTGTCATCTGCACTTGGTAAGGCAGGTGCTCCTTGTTTCTCCACTTGTCCATTGCTGAGGGACCGAGGCTCACCTGGGAGAAGGTAACACCACCTAGACTCACAAGCGCCATGACATCTTAATTGTCGGTGCACTAGACTGAGAGATGCCTAGGAGATCAGGGTGCCTGAGGGCGGGGGTTCCAGGACCATTACATCACCAGGGCTCTGACTTAATGGATCCAGTGACTTCACTGATGAAATATAAATCTGCATGAGTATAGCGCGGAGTAAACCTGGAAAGATGGAGCCCGGTTGAATGAAGCATGTCACTGGCATGAGCCATTTAAGGGTGTATAGACCCAGCCCTGTACTATTTCTGCTGTCTGGCACCAAAATGAACAACTCTGCCCCACCAGGGTAGTCTACCAATGATGTTTTGCCTCACCCATGCTCACAGAAATGGGGCCAAGCAAACATGGACTGATTCCTTTCAAATTGTGAGCCCAAATCGACCATTCCTTCCTTAGGCTGTTTCTGTAAAGTGTTTTGTCATAGACATGGAAACCTAAGGTATCCTCCCCTTCACCCTTACAGCACTGGTCAGTAGCATATGGTGACATGTGCTGCTCTCGATGCAGGACGCCTGGTGGTAGCGGCCATTCCCAGACTCTGTAGTTGGACTCTGCAATATCTCCAGGTTCTATTGCAATCGGTTTACTGCC